GAGAAAGTGAGAAAGCAAGCCATCAGGTCCAGGACTCGAACCACGGTTAGCCATGTGAGATACCAGTGTCTTTAACCACCATGCCACCTACTGGCTCCCTGTCAGAATTTTGGGCAGTCACATATATGTCCAGTGTATTTTTCAAGCTAGTGAGGCCAGGATTCAAACCATGGTCAACCAAGTGAGATCTGGATCCCTTAACTGCTATGCTATAGGACCAATCCTGGACCATATTTTAAATTTTTACACATAAGACTGATAAAGAGAGGATGGTCTAGAATGAGTCTTGGGTTTATGATTTTGTAGCCTTGTATGAACAGAGTAAAAGCATGGTGATGTATACATGTAGTGAGTTTGGGATATATTTTTTAATTGTCAAAACAATTTTTTCCTACTGTAATTTTTAGGATCAAGTTACAATCAAGGAAAATATAGATATATATTTCTGTTAATTTATATTTATATAATATATATTTCTATTAATGGCTCTGTTTTTATTAAATGACAGAAAGGGTCTTATTATTACTAATGTGATATTGTCTTTTAAAAAAACTAGAAAAGGGAAGATCATAGAAATTGATTATCATTTTAAAAATACTTTTGGGACCAGCAGTAAGCGTAATGGCTATGTCATTGGGCTCCCATGTAGTTGATTGCGGTTCGAGTCCTGGACCTGGTGGCTTAAACTCACACCAGGTGCGTGTGCATGCGTACCCAAGATCCCTAGAGGAGAATGGAGGAGAAGGGATTGAGGCATGGCCATTACCCTGGGGGTGAATTTTTATGTTTGGATCTTATTTTTTATTCTTTGTGATCCTCTGTTATTCTATAACATATTGAGAAGATCATTTTTTTAATTCCTGTATTCTATAGTGTACAATGTTTTCTCTAAATTTGATGTTGTCTAAAAATGTATGGTACATACTCTCAATCCTAGTATGAAATCTGATGAAAAATCTATAGCACGTGTTCTGTCTGGGTCTCCCCACATGGTTGGTAAGCTGCTTATTACTGCATTTTGTATGGATATTTCCAGCAGAGTGTGCAGGTTTTCGACAGTGGTAATATCCAAACCATTTACTCCATACTTAAATTGTTGACTGAAATATTTTAAGGAATAAAATTAAAATCATTACTGATTACCACATATTAAACCCAGCATTTTTCTCTAGGTCTGCAAAGCTTTCTCTGTCTTAGAGGAAATAAAATTAAGGAAGGCATTCTTTCATTTGTCGCTTATTCAGTAAATATTTATAAAGCATTTGCAGTGTCTGTGCCCTCAGAGGCAGCCTGAAATATCAGGAAGAGCACTGGATTGTGAGTCGTGAGACCTGGATTCTGACTCCAATTCAATTATATACTGGCTGCATCATTTTTTCAAGTATTTGTCAAGAACTTCATTACCTGATTTATAAAATTAGTAGTTAATATTAGCTCTTACATTTTATTACCACTTGATTTCTTCTAACTTTGACATGTCAAAATTATTTTGAAAGCATTTCACCTTTCTATAATTTGATAATCTAGTTTACTATTTGATGCTGGAGTGCTTAAGATCTTATTTGCCTCTTCTAACATCAGTACACACAGACACACACACACATGCACATGCATGTATTGAAGATGTATAGTGCTTATTTTAAGAGAAGAATTTGGCCCTACACTGTAAATGTGTTCAGAAAACAATATAACAGAGATACTGAAGGCAGCTTGTTTTTAACTCGTAGCTAAACATGACATTCAAATGTTAATTGGATGAATAAATCTTGTTCATTTTACAGACATGGAAATGTCAATGGAATAAAACTATTTATCACTAGATAATGGTCTCCTGCCGCCAGATAAATGCCAAGATGAAGATACTTATTGAAAATGTATCAAAATATTCTATTGCTATTTATTGAAAATAAAGGTTGAGGGAAAGTTCAACTTTTTGGGTCAAACATGAGAAATGTTCTGCTGATGGTGTTAGTTTAGTACCAGATCAAAGACAATATGCATGGTATAGAAACGGACAATTCTAAGAAATAAGTTGAGAAATGGACCTTTTAGCTTTGAGAATTACTGGAATAGTGGAGTAGAGATGGAAAATATATACCTAATATGGGAACCAGCAGTTAGCATAATGGCTATGTCGCTGGACTCCCACGTAATCGACTGCAGTTCACATCCCGGACCCAGTGGCTTAAAACTCACGCCGGGCGCGTGTGCATGCGTGCCTAAGATCCCAAGAGGAGAATGGAGGAGAAGGGATTGCAGTGTGACCATCCCCCCTGGGGGGTGATTTCTCACTTTCTGTCTCTATGTCTCTCTCTGTCTGTCTGGCAAGCACACGCGTCTTATAGCGAAAACCTCTACAAAAAAAAAAAAAAAGATATACCTAATATTTATTAAGCTCTTAGTGTGTACCTCATATAACCTTGGGTGCATTCAGTAATATTAATATAAGCTAATGAGAGCAAAATTTGAAAAGGATTATTATCTTCATTTTATAGGTAAAGTTAAAAGCAAAATAACTTGCAGCCACACAGAGAGTGAGTGCTAACACCGGGATTTAAATTTAGCTCTGTTTCCAACCTAATACACTTTCCTAAACACCCACGTCTCTGCTTATACTCTAAGCCTGAATTGAGTGCTTCGGGTTCTTTGGATTTTTGAATAGATTATTTCACTCAAGTTTTCTTACACTGGTTGCCCAAATACTTCTAATGATTCAGTATAAGAATGTGTTTTCAGAACCAGCAGTTAGCATAATGGCTATATCGCTGGACTCCCATGTAGTCGACTGCGATTCGCATCCTGGACCCGGTGGCTTAGAACTCATGCCGGGCGCGTGTGCGTGTGTGCCCAAGATCCCGAGAGGAGAATGGAGGAAAAGGGATTGCGGCATGACCATCCCCCCCGAGGGGGGGAGGGTGATTTCTCGCTTTCTGTCTCTCTGCCCTCGGTGGGGGAGCCCACACGCCCGATAGCAAAAACCTCTCAAAAAAAAAAAAAAAAAAGAATGTGTTTTCTTTTAGTGATATAGTCAGTCCATTTGCTAAAGTAAAAGAGCACTCCCTTAAGTCTTGGACTTGATAGCTCTGATTGGACCCAAGTAGCACTGAATTCTAGCATTTAAGACACGTTCTTAAGTATTTCTTCCCTGAGCCCCTCCCACCCAGATTGTCACTTACCTCATGCATACTTTGAAAACCTATATTGTGTGCTCTAGAGATATCCAGTGATTAAATGTGAATAAGAAATCATAAAATTGGGGCCAGCAGGTGGCATGGTGGTTATGGCACTGGAATTCCCACATGACCAAAAGTGGTTTGAATCCCAGACCTGGTGGCTTGTTTTCTCTCTCTCTCTGGCAAAACTCATGTGAAAGAATAATAATAATTAAATAATTCTTTTTCAAAAAAAGAAATCATAAAATTAAAAAAAAATAAATATAGAGAGTGAGGGGGGGTTTTTTTTTTTTTTTTTAGAGATGTTTTTGCTATAAGGTGAATGCATTCGCCAGAAAGACAGAGAGAGACAGAGAGACAGAAAGTGAAAAATCACCCCCCAGGGGTGGATGACCATGCCGCAGTCCCTTCTCCTCCATTCTTCTCTCTGGATCTTGGGCATGCACGCTCATGCGCACACACCCAGCGTGAGTTTAAGCCACAGGGTCTGGGACTCGGTCCTCGGTCAACTACATGGGAGTCCAGTGACACAGTCATTACGCCAACTGCTGGTCCCACGATAGTGAGTTTTTTTGTTTGTTTGTTTGTTTTTTAAAGATACATTCTGGGCCAGCCAGGGGCATAGTGGTTAAGGCAGCAGGATCTCATATGACCAACTGAGTGATCAAATCTCAGATCTGGAAGTCTGAAAAACACACTAAGCCCATGTATATGCATGGCCAAACTCTTGAGAGGGAACAGAGGAGAAGGGATTGTAGCATGGTTATCCCCCCCGAAGAATGCTTTCTCTCTCTCTCTTTTTCCCTCGCAAGCACATGTGCCCTTATAGCAAATGATACAAAACAATAAAAAAATAAAAAAAAAAAAAAAAAAAGAAAGAAACCCTGCTCATTCTTTTCAGCAGTGCTGGAAAGAGCAGTGCTCTGAAAGAGTTTAGGTGATGTCTCTTTCTGCTCTTTTCTGTACTTAGATACCTACGTTTCTACTTTAGCTATCTTGTGTATTGTAAGTGCCATAATGGTCTTTGTCAAATACGTTATTTGGGCAGTTATGGAATATAGATGGATAATTGAAACTACTTACACACATAAAAGGAGAATTATTGTTTCCTAAAGCCTTTACTAATCTCTTCATGCCAATGCCTTCTCATGTCCTTTTACCCCCAAACTCTCCTTTTTCTACCCACTACAGACGTTGGGCTCTAACGTCTCCTTCCTTTGGACTGTTAGGGAACTAACTTCAGGTTTCCTCTGGCAGCCACCACTTGCTACCTAGTATTTTAGTTATTGATACACTTGTCATAGTTTCCCTGGTTGGTAGGCTCCTTACTAGGGAGAAATCGTGTATATATATTTTTTCCCTCTGTGCTCCATAGTACCCAACTGAGTGATGTCGATGTTGCAGATCATCAATGAGAGAGTAAAAGAAGCATGAGTATAATCTCTTTGTTTTTAAGTACTAGAGGAAGTATTAAGACTTCAGAGGTATCCATACTATTTTGGGAGTCTGTTTTTTGCCTGGTGCTTGTATGTATCAGATCTCCCTAAAACACATTTAGATTTTATTTATTTTGTATAATTCCTAGAGGCAATGAATGTGCAGATCATTTAACTGCTAGATGGATAAAAAGGAGAGAAGCTTGAATGTTTAAATTTCCCTCAGGAAGAAGGTAGTAGTTCATACAGTATTCTTTTGATATATAAATAGCATACGCACTAGTGAGGATTGTTAAAAGAGTCATAATATTCTCCCAGTAGTTTCAGATTGACATCAACACCATTGTGTCGTGGGTATTACTGACTCAGTCCTCACCATGCACTTTCACAGATGGAAGACCTTTAACTCTGAAGGACATATGGGAAGGAGTTCATGAGTGCTACAAGACACGGCTGCTGCAGGGACCATGGGACACTATTACCCAGCAGGTTAGAGTATTTTTATTTTATTCTATGCATTCCTTTCCCTATGCCCATCTTTTCATCTAATAGTTTACTCTCCCTTTTCCCGATCCCATTCTTCCACATTTTACAGATTTCAACTGAAAGACAGCTTCTTTAAAAAAACTTTCTCAGGGGCCAGCGAGTAGCATAGTGGTTAAGGCACTGGACTCCCACATGGCTAATCACAGTTTGAGTCCTGGACTTGGCACCTTGCAAATCATACTGGGTGAATGTGCGTGCATGCCCCAGGTCCCAGGAGGAGAATGGAGAAGGGATTTTTACCTATCTCCCCTCAGGGTTAATTTCTTATTTCCCCTTTCACTGTCTCTCTCTGGCAAGTGCATTGGCCCTATGGCAAAAACCCCCCAAAAAATAAAAAACACCTTCTCAGACTAAGTCTTGGTTTAGCCTCTATTATAAGCTCCCATAGCACCCTATAGTGTTTCCTTCTTATACACATCACGGTTTTTAATTACATATTTAGATTATTTCATTTTATTTTTTTTAGAGGTTTTTGCTATAGGGTGCGTGTGCGCGCCAGACAGAGAGAGACGTAGAGACAGAAAGCGAGAAATCACCCCCCCATGGGGGATGGTCACACCTCAATCCCTTCTCCTCCATTCTCCTCTCAGGATCTTGGGCACGCACGCAGACGTGCCTGGCATGAGTTCTAAGCCACCCGGTCCGGGACGCAAACTGCGGTCAGCTACGTGGGAATCCAGCGACATAGCCATTACACTAACTGCTGGTTCCCTGGATTATTTTTTTAAAAATGAATGTCTTTTCTACTATACTGTGAGCTCCTAAATGGGCAGACTATCCCTAGTTTATTCTTCACTGTATACCCAGCAGCAGCACAGTACTTATCATACAGTATGTGCTCACCAAAAATGTATTAACTAGTGAAAATATCAACTAGGTTGGCATATATACTAAGAAATCGATTTTTAGTTTGCATCATCTATAATGTTTCAATTTTACTCATAGGTGCATTTGCGAAAGTTTTGATTAATAATATGTTTGCAATAGTGACTTGCAAATGTACAGAAAATAGATCTGCAAAAGTGGATATAAAAAAGTAGATTTGCAAAAATAGAGAAAATAGATCTGTCAATCATATAAGTCATTATTACTGCCTTGCTAAAATCAGCAGTTAATTATTTTGGAAATTTAAAAATACTCATCACCTTGTAACCAATCATGATCTTTTTAAAAATAATTCTTACTTATATCAAAAATTTATTTTTTTTCTAAGCCTCTGCTAAGCCTAATGAAAACTCCCTTTAAAATGACTTTATCAGTCATTAGAATTTTTATGCCCTCTTATGTGTTCGATCATCATAATGATAGATTACCTCCCAATCAACACAAGAATCCTTAGCATCTCATAAGAAGTTCTTTAACAATGACTGTAAGTCATCATTTTCTAGGCTTTAATTGAGGACAAAACTAGCTTTAAATATGTGTATCTTTCACACTGCCCCTCAAATTAATCTTTTCCTTTCCTCTCCCAATATCACCCTCCCAGATCAAGCCTTTAACCTCACCTGGATAATTAGTAAAGCCTCTTATCCCTGGCCTAGCTCCATTCTTCCCAGCCCATTACTGTTGGGCACATCTTAATCACTGTTGTATTTATCTCAAACCTGCAGTAGCTCCCCAGGGGCCTGTGGGATGTGGTCAACTGTTCATCTGGCCTTTACTACCTTTTTTTTTTTTTTTTTAAATACCAGAGAGTACGCATATATGCAGAAGAGAAAGAGAGACATACCCCCTCTATGCCTGGTCACACGGCAACTTTTTTTCCCTCCAATTCTCCATCCTGTCAGGATCCTGGGCATGCATGTGCACACCTGGTGTGCTTTTCAAGACACTAGGACCAGGTTTCCAATGCTGGTTGGCCATGTGGGATACAGCTTCTTCTGTACAGTACTTCCCCACTGTGCTGTGAGACTGACTCTCAACCTGCCCTTTCACATTTGCCTTTTATTCCTCTCCTCTTACACTGCTCTTGCCACATGTGGCTATTCATTTCTCTTTACCTGTATTGTGCACTTTGTTTGTGGAATTCTTTCCTGGTTGAATTCCTTACTTGTTCTGTCTGCATCCGTTTTTTTTTTTTTTTGAGAGGTTTTGCTATAGGGCACGCCAGAAAGAGAAAGACAGAGAGATAGAAAGCGAGAAATCACCCCCGCCCCCAGGGGGGATGGCCATGCCACAATCCCTTCTCCTCCATTCTCCTCTTGGGATCTTGAGCATGCATGTACACACGCCCAGCATGAGTTTCAGCCACTGGGTCCAGGACTCAAACCATGGTCAACTACATAGGAATTCAGCAACATAGCCATTACGCTAACTGCTGGTCCCTGTCTGCATACTTTCTATCTGTTCTCTCATAAGCATCTTTCTCTAAAACCACCCCAGCTCACCAAAATGGACCCTCTGAAATTCAAGTTCTGTGGACCAGGCACAGGTGGTTGCTCTGAAGAAGGATAATGTGATAAAGTAAGCAAATCAGCCTTCAAGTTTTTCAGAAGAATATTTTGTTTTTCTGCAAGTTATTTTAGATTAACCTTTAAGTATGTCAAGGTGAATGTTAAGAGTTTCAATTTCCAGTCTTATCAGTGACCAAAAACAATCCAAAAATGTATAAAGAACTTTGTGGAAGAATGAAATTAAAGTACAAGTTTATTTTGACACATAAGGAAATTGAACTCCATGTATAGTTTTTTCATAATATACATTTTTCATGAACCCTTTAAGGATCTATAGGGTCAAAATCCCTAGGACCCAGAAAATGTTTGGTTGTCAAGGAAGGGACCAGCAGATGGCTTAATAGTTATGTTGCTGAACTCCCACATGGCCAACTATGGTTTGAGTCCCAGATCCAAGAGCTTAAAACTCACACTAGGCATATATGTGTCTGTGCCCTAAATCCCAATGGCGGCATAGCCATCCCCCCGAGGGATTTCTCACTTATTGTCTCTCTCTGTGTCTCTGGCAAGCAGACACTCCAATAGCAAAAATCTCTCTTAAAAAAAAAAAAAAAAGTCAAGGAAGATGGCAAAGGACAGAGGAAGAGAGTATCCCAAATTATGTGTATTTAACTTTAGCACTCCTTTCTCAATGACCTTTTCCATTATACTCTTGAGCTCAACTTTCCTTTTTTCTAGCAGCCCTATTATTAATCTCCTCATTGTAAGCCTATAGGCACAATTCCTGGTGATCTATGTTATTTTGTGTTTTTTTTTTTTGTACATATCACTGTTCTGACTTATGAGGTAAAAATAAGACTTTGAATTCAACTGAATTTTCTTAGTGTCCTCATATGGTGCTGCCAATAGCTTTCTTACCACTGATAGAACTGCTTAGTTATTAAACTAGCCAAATAAACCAATCTGTACATTGATTACTTTTAACAAAATTGTCTTTCAATTTATACAGACAGTTGAGTGTTACATGTACAGCTTGTTAGTAGACCATATTTTTCCTACTTCTCATGCAATAGTAATACAGATCAAATCCTGTCACAGTAAGCATCACCTTCTACACCAAGGCTGGGCCCATGTCATTGGATGGATAGTAGATACAACCAAACTCTAGCACAACTATAAAATTTACATAACCCTGCGGAGTTTATTTTATTGGGATTTGATCTGTGGACAAGTGTCTTACTTCTAATAACAAACCTTATTTAAGTTTTAGAATCACTCTTCACAGTTCCTGTCCAGGCATTAAAGACCAAGCAAGGGAAACTCATTTGTAGCCATTGCACTACTTGGCATTTGAAAGTCATCATGAATATATCCCTTGAGGGGTCTTAGCTTTTAATCCCGATTGGTTAATGGGTTAGTATTAATGTCTTCTTTGCTTGAGATCCTGGAGAATTTATCTTTGTTTTTGTAAGATCCTATGTGAGGACAAAACAAGGTGTTCTCAGAAGGGTGGAAAGGGATGATAGGATACAGCTTTAGGGGAGAATGAGCTGATAGAATATTAGTGGCATTGAATGGTAGACACTTTTTTGCAGAATTACTCTAAAAAATCATTAGCTTGCAGACTGCACATGATAATAATATCCTGTGATCCAGAGTGGCTTAAAAACAAAAGCAGCCTTTGCATAATATAAAATGCATTTCACTTCATTTTCAGGCCTGATTGTGCTCGTATAGTTTGTTGTTCTTCATCTTCAGTAATCACACTTCTCTTCTCTCAGCATTTGTCTTGATGATAAGGACCTGTTCATGTCAGACATGAACCCTCTCTTTTGAAGACAAGCCACTCATGAATCTCATACATTTGATTATGATGATTACTTACCTGCCTTTGTCCAACATTATGGGCTACCTATTATCTCAACTCTAGCCTAATAAAGAACTTGCAGAAGAAGGTTAACAGATGTCTGGGTTAGGTCTATCAGCCTAAATTGGTGAAGTGAGTGTTAGAATAATGATCACTGAAAAAATGAGCTCTCTGTTTTAGGCGAAGAATTCCTGTGATCTTGGCATGGCCTAAAGTCACAAGATAAAAAAGCATACCTTCAATGTTATTTGAAGGTGTGTGTGTGCTTATGTGTGTGGGTGTTAAGTGATCAGATAAGTAGTTTTTTCTTACTGTCTTCCTTTTGTAAACTTTGTATTATATAAATTTTAAATATATTCAAAAGTAGATAGTAGTATAATATACTTATCAATATATGGAAATCTCTCTTTTTTAAAAGATCCCACATGGTCTGGAATTTTTTTGAAGAAAACCTTAGACATCATTTTATCTTACCTATAGATTATTTATGTAAATGTCTTTAAAAGGTAAGAGCTCTACATAAATGTTTGTAGCAGTGCTATGCATGGACCAGAATAGAAACAACCTAGGTATCCTTCAGTGGTAAAATAGACTGTGGTAATCCTTACCAGGGAGTGCTACTCAGCAATAAAAGGGGACAACTGTTGTACACATGAGTCTCCAGGAAATTAGACTGAGTGCAG